AACAAATCAAAACAAACAAACAAAAAAGACTTGGGAAGGATAATAAAAGACATTGTGGGGAGAGGAAGCTAAGCCAGTAAACTTGAATATTATAGTTAGAGAATCAGAAAGTTAAACGGGGATATCCCTCAAGGACCACGAACACTGAAGAGAAAAGTGATTGGAAACATGAGACTGGACTTGAGAAAATAGACTGGATTGGGACCAGCAGATGGTATAATGATTACATGGCTGGACTCCCATGCAGTCGACTATGGTTCGAGTCTTGGACCCAGCAGCTTAAAACTCACACCAGGCACATGTGCATGCATGCCCAAAATACCAAAGGGAGAATAGAGGAGAAGGGATTGCAGCACGGCCCATCCCCCAGCCCCCAGGGGTGATTTTTTGTTTTCTGTTTCTCTGTCTCTCTCTATCTCTCTGGCGAGCACATGCACCCTATAGCAAAAATCTCTCTTAAAAAGACTGGATCCGGTGGTGGTAACACAACTAGACCCACATGGGAAAGGTCCTCGGTCTAGTTAGAACCACTCTGAGCATGCTGGGCACATGTGTACCCAAAATCTGGGTCAGCTGAGAGGTGTGGATCTCAGCATGAGGACCTTATTAGAGGTACCTGTTTCTCTGTTTCTCCTTCACTCTCTCTCTCTCCTTCTCTGTCTCTTTTCTTGCTCCTTATCTCTCATGGAAAGATACAAACAAGTTTTACAAAAAAGAAGGGAAGAAGAGTTCAGGGTACACTGCAGAGAATCAAGCAGGGATAATACTGGGTCACTCGAAAAGTGATGATGCATTTTTTAACAGAAAAATAAAAAAATTACATCATGACTTTTTCTATGACCCAACAGTTGAACATAAGAGGGTGAACGAAACTTTGAAGAAATTTTAAAAAGAAAAGTGTTTGAAGGGGGACCAGCAGTTAGTGTAATGGCTGTGTTGCTGGACTCCCATGTAGTCGACTGCGGTTCACGTCCTGGACCCAGTGGCTTAAAACTCATGCCAGGCGCATGTGCATGCGTGCCCAAGATCCCAAGAGGAGAATGGAGGGGAAGGGATTGCAGCGTGGCCATTCCCCCTGGGGGGTGATTTCTTGCTTTTTGCCTCTCTGTCTGTCTGGCGAGTGCACGCGCCCTATAGCAAAAACCTCTCCAAAAGAAAAAAGAAAAGTGTTTGAAGGCACACCTTGGAGAATGCCTACCTTATGGAAGAAGAGGAGGAGAGAGGAAAAGGTAGAGGGGAAGCCTGAACTGGACAGGCTAACAAGCCAAGAGAAGAAACTTAAAAGGAGGAGGAAGAGGTTGGGCTGGTTCCATGGCCTGGGGGTTGAGGCAGCCAGATCCCACATGACCAACCTTGTGGTTCAAGTACCAGTGAGTTCAGAAACACGCTGGGTGCATCTGTGTTTGTGACCCAAACCCCAAAAGGATGCAGAAATGGAGGAAAAGGGATTGCGACATGATCACGCCTCACTAGAGAGGTGTTTCTCCTCTCTCCTTCTCTCTCTCTCTCAAGCATGTGCACCCTCTTGCAAATTTTGTTTAAAAAGAGAGAAGGAAGAGGTCAATAATGTCAGATACTTCCGACAGACCAACAATGGGGAGGATTTTAAAAAGTCCATAGGATTTAGAAAAGATATCGAATGTTGAAGTGGGGAGATTAATGTCTTTGTACTGACTGACTTGCATGGCATTCCCTTTTGAAAAAGCAATGTAATACACTGTAAAGTTATATATAATCAAATGTAATATAAAGAAGATTATGATGATAATAAAAAAAAAAAAGAAGGGATTGTGGCCATGCCCTATAGAGCAGGGTGGTTGCTCACTTTATGTTTCTCTCTGGTGAACATGTAAGCCCCCTGACAAATTTTAAAAGGAAAATAAACACACAAACAAACAAACAAACAAAAAGTCCATAGGATTTGGAAACTGAAAGGCCTTTATCCTAAGGTAAGAATATATTAAGTGAACAAAGATACACAAAGATGCTCATCAAGGAGACATTTATAATATTGAAAAATTGGGGAACCAGCAGATGGTGTAATGGCTATGTCTCTGGACTTCCATGTAGTCAACCACGGTTTGAGTCCTCGACCCGGTGGCTTAAACTTACACTGGGTGTGTGTGCATATGTGCCCAAAATCCCAAGAGGAGAATGGAGGAAAAGGGATTGTGGCATGGTCATCTCCCCTGGGGGGTGATTTCTCGCTTTCTGTCTCTCTGTCTCTCTCTGTCTTTCTGGCGAGTACACAAGCCCTACAGCAAAAACCTCTCAAAAAAAAAAAAAAAGGTGAAAAATTGGAAACAACCTAAATGTTCAAAAGTAGGAAATGAGTCGATCAATTAAAATAAATTAAAATTTCATATGGCCATTAAAAATGAGGGCCTAGTGGCCAGCAGGTGACATAGTGGTTAAAGTGCTGGACTCCCATATGGCTAACCACAGGTGAAATCCTGGCCCTGCTGGCTTGAAAATCACACCAGGTGTGCGTGCATGCATGTCCCAAATCCTGAGAGGACAATGGAGAAGAAGGGATTGCAGCATGGTCATTCCCGCTGAAACGATTTAGTGCATGGTATGAGCCAAGCACTATTCTAAGTGTTTTTAAATATTAATTTAATTTAATATGTGATTAACTTATTTTCTTTTTTGCTTGCTGTTTCATTTAATAAGTGATTGACTTATTTTTTGCTTGCCGGTATTCTCCAACTTTTCTACAACAAATATATATGAGTTACTTGATAAAAACTGATTTTTTTAAGAGAGGTTTTTTGTTTGTTTGTTTGTTTGTTTTGCTGTGGAGCTCATGTCCTCACCAGAGAGACAGAAAGACAGAAAGCAAAAAAATCACCTCCCCGGGGGGGATGGCCATGCTGCAATCCCCTCTCCTCAATTCTCCTCTTGGGATTCTGGGCACACATGCACATGTGCCCAGCGTGAGTTTTAAGTGGCTGGGTCTGGGACTCACATCATAGTCAACTACGTGGGAGTCCAGTGACATAACCATTATGCCATCTTCTGGTCCCCTAAAAATTGATTTCTTAAGGGTCACTAGTAACCTTTGGGAGAATGTTTCAGATTGAAGATAGGCAAGAAAGCCAGACTGCAAGGCTTTGAGAATGAATAGCTAGGAAGCAAGGGCAAGGGGAAGAGACAGATCTCTTCGAAAACCTGGCCATAAGAGAACAGGAAAGCAGCTCCCTTTGCCCCCGGACTACAGATAGCAGTACGGGTCTCAGCCAGTCATGGTTATCATGGAGCAGATGTGCTTAGCTCTGGGCAAACCTATAGCCAGTAGCAAAATGAATTCCAAACATAGGCTCCAGTTACAGCAAAGTTTTAGATATATGAAAGATGGGCTACAGTTTGCTACGAGCTTTGTTGAAACTTTCTCCATGTATCCAAGAAACACAGCTTGATGAAAGTACATGACTTCAAACTTACTCAGCTTTAAGTTTGTTGGGTAGTAAACGACTAGTTATGAGTTTGAAAAATACAAATATTTCCTCCCTATATTTTTTATGTAACAGGTTCTGATTTAGTACCCCGAAATAGAGAAAGCACTTCCTCTGAAAAAATAAATAGCCCAACACTTCGAATGCACAGTTTAAAATAGACCCATGGCTCTCAAACAGAGGTGAGCATCAGACAGAATCGCCTGGGCGAATTATTGAGTTTTTAAATTTTTGCTTGTAGCTCCCTAAGGTATATTTCACATACATAAAATTCACCCACGTAAAGGGTACGATTCAGTGCATTTTGGTATAGTCGGTGTTGTTCAGCATCACCACAATATAGTTTATCATTTTTCCAAGATATCAAAAAGAAACCCTGACTTATTAGCAGCCACTTTCCTTTCACCCTGCCTGTTGTTGCTGAAAATCAGAACAACTCCAGACGTGAAACAATTCGAAAGGGATGTGAATCTCCTCTCAAAACAAAGAGAAAAAATTTATTGGGATGTGAATCTCCTCTCAAAACAAAGAGAAAAAACTAATTTAATACATGAAAAAGAATGAGTAACACACAAAGGGAAAAAGATATAACACCTCAATTAAGACACGCAATAGCCATAACAAGAAGAAAATCATGAATTACAATGCATCTTTTAAGTGGCTGCAAAGGGAAAAAAAAATAGTATTTCAAAGAGAACTAAAATAAGGGCAGTCTCCTCTCAAAACAAAGAGAAAAAACTAATTTAATACATGAAAAAGAATGAGTAACACACAAAGGGAAAAAGATATAACACCTCAATTAAGACACGCAATAGCCATAACAAGAAGAAAATCATGAATTACAATGCATCTTTTAAGTGGCTGCAAAGGGAAAAAAAAATAGTATTTCAAAGAGAACTAAAATAAGGGCAGTGGTTAGATGAGAAATTGAAGTTAAAAGAAGATAGTCGTGTAAACATAAGCACTAAACTAAAAGGTTTCTGGATATCAACCTGAACTCTTGAGTACACAACTAACTTCCCCAAGGAAAGTGCTTATGCAAGTATCAAAGGCTTTACCTGATAGACTACAATGAGACACTATGCCTTAGAGAAAGTGTCAGTCAGCAGTCCCCTTGAAGCTAATGTTTCCTTGCATACAGTATTCATTTTCCCTGCCCCTTCCTCTTTTTTCTTCTGCATGTAAATGAAATAACTTCTTGAGAACTTCTTTTTCTCCTTATCTGGCATAGGGACCAATCTATTCTTTCTACAGAACAAGCCCAGGCAGCTCAGTCTAGGCACTTAGGTGTCCCTGCTAAGCTAGTTTTCAATCACTGGGATGTATTTCATCCACTAAACAGCTGCTCCCCTCTTTCTGAATATAAAATCATAAGACATTTTGAACGGAACCATCAAAACCTGCTCCCAATCCAACAGTCAGGAACTTACTCTTTATGAAAAGTAAAATTTCTCTTCAACATTTGAGAGTGGCCACAGAAATTGGAGCTGGTAATTTTCCATTCTAACAACAGCCTACGAGGTAGGCAGGAATGATGGCACCCACCTCTTCAGCTCTGCAATGAGGAGAGCAGTGCAAGGAACACCCAGGGTCATCAGGGAGATGTTATTGATGGCAGGCTTGACGAACGCCAGGCATGTTGTAACTGCAGAGAGGACACAAACCACCGCCTTGAACCTGCCCCTGATAGGTGAAAGCAAAACCAAGTCCATTAGCAAAAGAGTTTCTGTTTGTTTAATGTTGGTAAGATACAAGTGTTGCTGGTAGTGTAAGCTAAAAAGAAATCCTACATGAAGTAGGGAAGGTCAAAACTATTTACATTCAGGGACCAGCAGTTGGCATAATGGCTATGTCACTGTACTCCCATGTAGTTGACTGTGGTTCGAGTCCTGGAACCAGTGGCTTAAACTCACGCCGGGCGTGTGTGTGCATGCCCAAGATTCCAAGAGGAGAAGGGATTGCAGTGTGGCCATCCCCCCTGGGGGGTGATTTCTGTCTGTCTCTCTCTGTCTTTCTGGTAAGTGCACACACCCTGTAGCGAAGGAAGGAAGGAAGGAAAGAAGAAAATTATTTACATTCATTGGCTCAGTAACTCCACTTTTAGGAATTTATTCTTAGGAAGTAATCAAAGATTTTCAAAATATTTAGACATGAAAATAATAAAATCAGAATCAACCTAAGTCTTTGAGGGTGAGAGATAGATAATCATTTTCTTAGCATTATTGTTCATATTATTTTAGAAGTTCTACATCAAGGTTTGATCAACTTTCTGGAAAGACTCAGAGAGTAAATATTTCAGTTTTTGAGGGTCCTACAGTCTCCACAACTACTCAACTTGCTGTTATAGACAATAAGTAAATGAATGAGCGTGGCTATATGCCAGTAAAATTTTATCTGCAAAAACAGAACCTATTTTGCCTACAGGGCAGTTTGTCAACCCCCGATTTACAAGGTAAGCAAATACAACTTTTGTAATAAAAACAGAGACCATTAACAAATCATACAGCTTTCTAGTTTAAAAGAAAAAATGTCCTATGTGGCTAGCACAGAAAACTAAAAGTTGTTTTTTTCTTTTAATTATAAGATTACCTATATTTGCTGACAACATGCAAGTCTCACGTGCACTAGAAGTTGCACTGATGAGTTTTGGTATGATAAATCTTAGAAAAATACTTGACATCATCTTCATCTCCTTCAGTAGAAAGAGCCAGAAGCAGTGATGTGATCCTGGACACACTCTGTCTTCTCTCCCTGGGACCCTATTTCCTCATAAAATGAAAAGGCTGAACAAAATGATCTCTAAGACCTCAACTGTGACTTAAATTTAGGAGTACGTGATCTTCCTGAAGTTTCTGTTATTCCTTATTAGCACGATTTACTTTGGCCCAGAGCCCTGGAACAGTTCACAGTTAGGAAACTAATTTGAATGAAATTCCATTATAAAGAAATCAAAGGGTATTGAACTTTCAAAATACAAATTTATCTTTTAAATAGGAAAACCATTTATCATCAAGGCACAGGAAATCATTGATCAAACTGCCAACTCTCTGACTGGAATGAACAGGAATTCCAGCCCTGAGCTTCTAGCAGAGGAAAAAATATATATGGGAAACGATCTGGGTTGCAAATCCTCAGGAGAATTGTGTTTTTCTCCTGGCCTTGACTGGTGTTCCTTAGCTACCGGATGCAAGGCTATCGCACCAGCCTGAGGATGACGGGCAGTCAGCAGCAGCCATCAGTGGATGGCCCTGAGGATGCACAATAACTCTTTCATTGATTTTGAGGTTTTAAGACACATGCCAAGGCTATTGGGCTTCTTTAACAGGATAAATACATAATCAGAAACTTCCAAAGTACATCTCTTCTGTGCACCCAAGGGTTTAGGATTCAGGCACAGGTTAGAAGGAGCAACAGAGTGAGTGAAAGCACAGATGTTTCCGTTAGGCAGACGTGTGTTCAAGTAGTGCCTTAGAAGTTGTGGAATCTTTGTAACTTAACTGTGTAAGCCCTTCCAGGGTAAAAATTAAAGCAGCCTGACTCATGGCATTCTTGTAAGCATTAAAGCACTTAACATACAGCCTGGTACATGTTATGTAACAAAATGCATTAATGTTGTTATCCTTAGCATCGTTCTGAGAATACTGTTTTAAATAATATTGTTGTTGTTTGATAATATACTCTCAAAGAAAATCTGGTTGAGCTGGTGTTGCAATCACCAAAGACTGCATCTAGTATTGCCAAATAGTTTAAAGGCTACAAGTTTGATAAAACATGCTTTTTTTAAGAAGACCATCTGCAAACAGCTCCTCAAAGGTCCAGAGGGTGTGGAAGAATGTGTGGGCCAACTAGCACATCCTGCAACCAGCAGAAATAAACAGATGTCATGTGGCCAGCAGAAAGTCGGTCAGCCCTGCAGACCCTGGACCCAGAGTCGTCAGAGGCCCTCAGTGAAACAGAGACAGAAGTAACCAGGACCAAGAGGCCCCACCAGGATATTTTCCAAACTGTGATTCAGGCAATCTGTACCACAGTCTCTATTTTCAACTTTCTAGCCACTATGGTCTCACACTAAAATACAAGGTAAGACAACCTTAGCACCCTTTCTTCCTGTTTTCTCCAAACCAGAATCTACAATAGCAACTTAATACTGTCATCACATTATTAAAATAAGGTTGTCATCATTAGCTATGCCTCTTTTTAATATCAAATACTTGGCAACAGCACTTTTACTCTTCAGAAATGAAATGAAATTCATGGATGATAAAACTGCTTATCACATGACCACTAAATATATGTCCACAAACTTCCAAGATGTCCCTAAAGAGATGGCAATGTCTCTGGTTAAGATCCACTGCTTTTAACTACCCCTTAGGGGCAAGATATAACCTGTTTAGAATAGCCAGCTCTGATAGTCACAGCATTATAACATTTGGTCCTGGAAAGAACCTCAGAGTTAGTCCATCCCTTCCATTTCCTAAGTAAGGGACAAAGATAAGGCCCAGAGTTTAAGATTCGGGCCCCAGGTGATCCAGCAAGTAAGCTAGCAGGAGGAGTAATCCCAGCCTATTTTCCTGCTATTCAGGATTCAAAGCTGAAGTGGAGTATAGAGTAAGAGTCAACCATAGATTTTGCAGAGGTAAAATCATAAAAAGCACAGCAGGACAAATTATTTGAGAAGTAGATACAATTAGCCTGTTACAGTTCTTTGTTCTTATTTTTCTTCTCGAAACAAAACCATCTAAAAATTATCCATAACCATCAACAGCTCAGTATATATTCTGAAGATTCTTGGGACATTCTAGACAGGTGAAAGTAAATCTTTTTTTTTTTTTCAGGGTTTTGTTTTCTGTTTTCTGTGTGTGTGTGTGTGTGTGTGTGTGTGTGTGTGTGTGTGTGTTTTATTATAGGGCATGTGCTCTCACCAGGGAGAGACAGAGAGAGAGAGAGAGAAAGTGAAAAACAATGCCACAATTCCTTCTCCTCCAGTCTCCTCTCAGGATTTTGGGCATGCACACACACACACACACACACACACACACACACACCCAGTGTGATTTTCAACCTACTGTGTTCGAGACTCAAACTGCAGAGTCAATCATGTGGGATCGGGCACCTTAGCCTCCATGCCACCTACTGGCCCAGTCTTTTTTTTTTTTTTTTTTTTATAAAGACTTTATATCCTATTGATATAATGAATCTAATCATTTCCCTACTGTTTTAGACACCTTTATCTTCAAAACACTTTTCCATATTATCCATTCATAATAATTGCTAGCACTTATTGAGTCTTTATTCTGTACTATACACTTATATAATTTACTCATTTATTCTTGACCCCATGAGGGGGGTCCTCACTTTACAGATTAGCAAAAGGAGCTTCTAGAGCTTAAAAATTAAAAAGCGAATGGCTATTCAAAGCCATGTCTGTCTGAACCGAACTCACTTAGCTACCATACTCTACTGTCTCTTCTTCAGAAATATCACACTGGATCTACAGCACTCCTTTACGTGTTTAGAAATATTCCAGTGGTTCAGTTCTGAAGCCTGGTAATTCAGATAGCCAGATGACCTCATGTCCAACAGTACAGTTCAACTCTCAGACCCAGTGGCTTGATAAACATGTGGGGTACATGTGCACCCAAAATCCCGAAAGGAGAAAGAGATGGAAGAGAAGGAATTGTGGCATGACCATTCCCTTTGAGGATTTTGTCTCCTCTCCCCTATCTCTGTTTCCCTCTGCAAGCACATGTGCTCTCTAGTAAAAGAAGGAAAAAAAAGAAAGAAAGAAATATTCCATCAAAGGGACCAGCAGATGGTGTAATGGTCACATCACTGGACTCCCACGTAGTCTACTACACTTCGAGTCCTGGATCAGCGGCTTAAATTCACGCTGGGCACGTGTGGCTGCATGCCTTAAGATCCCAAGAGAAGAATGGAGGAGAAGAGTCTATAGCGTGACCATGCTCTCTGGGGGGTGATTTCTCTCTTTCTGTCTCTCT